CCTTTTATTAATTTCCATTTAAGTCTGGCTTGAGCTGTCTAGGACTGCATTTGTTGCAACAGTAGTGTGTGCTGCTGACTTAAGTAGTGCACTGCATCTTGTGGACTCTTCAGTCGTAAGTAGTGTAAATTTTCATAAATACCTTATAAGTTTGGTGCATGGCGGTTTGTTTTGTTTGTGGTGGTTTGAGTTTTTCTTCCTTCTTTGTTGAAGTGAGGAAATAAAAAAGCAACTTTGACTTCTTTCCTCGAAAAACAGCTATACTCTCATACTTCCATGTGAAATTTTGTTAACATAGAAGGAACATGGGAAAGAAGGAATGGATTTCTGAAAAAAAAACCTACAACTAACAAGGAATAGCTAATGAACTATTATGTAGTAGAACATTCATCTTGATTCCTTAGGATTCAGGTGGTTTTGCAGCACCTTTTCCACTTCTGTTAAAAAGCTAAAAAAAACTTTGATAATTGTGAGAGATGAATTGAGAGGCATTCTGTAGTGAAACCCTGGAAGGGGTATTTGAGGTGGGAAATCACATGCAACTTTCTAGGTGCAGGCACTTCAAAAGATCCAGCTTAATGGGGGAGAGTACTTTGAAACTAATTCAGAAGTTTCATATATAGTCAAGTAATTTAATTCCAATGTAAGCATAAAGGCTGTAATTGTGTCTTTCCTTTTATATTTCAATTTTTGCTCCAGGGTTTTGCTAGAATGGCATCAGAGATAGGGTGTGAGAAAAGTCAAGACTGGGGATCTGCTGGTTTTGGAGGTGTATTTAAGGTGGAGTGGATCCGAAAAGAAAGCATTCCTTTCCAGTTTGCACACCATTTGCTCAACCCTTGGAATGATAATAAGAAAGTACAAATAAGCAGGGATGGCCAGGTAATGTTCTCTTCTAAAGTCTTCCTTACTTGGTGTATTGTTTGTTAGCTTGTTTAGCCTTGACATTTATCTCAAAACACTGGAGAGCATAAGGTAAAAAAATTCACAGAAATTCTGGCAGAATAGCCTACAGCAAGTATGAAAAGAAAAGTTTTCCTCTTTGCCACAGAGCACAACTAAGAATCAAGCATTACTGTTCTTGACGGCTGTGCAGGATGCCCAGGGCAGACTAAATAAATTTTGCCAAAACGCTTGCCCAACCTGCTACTACAGTAGCAGTGACTCTCCTAACTCATGAACTCATAAGTTTTTGTAAATATATGAACTAATAAGGATTTTTTCCTCAAAATACAGTTTCTATAGGTTTTGCGTGTTCTATAAAATAGTGCTGCTTAGTCCTGTACTACCAACACTGGGGATTTAAAAACAGAGTGTCATATAGCAGTCTGCAGGTCTGCATTTGTAACAGAATAAATTGCAATGGATTATAAGCTAGTTTTATAGCATTTTTTCAGCAACATCTGTAACAAGGCAGTGGCTCATGATGTGTTTTAGCAATAGATTTGTTCTCTGAGGTAGTCCGTCACACGTGAGTAACTGTCCATCATTATAGCTTTGAATTTTCTGTAAAGCCTGAAAAGAATCTTGAGGTAGAATAAAACTTAGGACAGTTCTCCAGTGTGTTAAAGCTAAATGCAACTGCAAAAAGCTGAAAGAGAATTGGCACAAGAGTTCTCTGGCAGTTTCTGCATTCTCCCCAGACCACTTGCAAAATATCTTTAGAGATTCCAGAGCTAAACTTCCTAATCATCTTCTTGCTACTTCTCCAGAACCTCTTCAGTTGTAGGAATGAGGAAGGGAAGGTAGTATGTAATGGAGTTAACAGTGCTTCTGTTGAAAGTGGCTCTTAAGACCTAAAGAGTCTTAGTAATCTGAAAAACAGTTTGTTAATATGTATGATTCCCCCAGGAGCCATTGTATAGTGGCAGGAGACCTGCCTTTCCACATTCTATACCACACTTGATGGAATTAAACTTAAGAGGTAGGGAGAATAATGATCTCTAGTTAATAAGTGACATGTGGCAGGTACAAAGCATATGGTGCGTTGTATATGGTGGTGGTGTGTTCACTTGGAATTCTAGTCTTAAGAACTAACATCTTGCTGTGAATAATAAAATTCAAACAACCTGAATGCCAAGGTACCTTACAAAAGTTCTTGTCTTGTCTTTGAGCCCTAGTAAAAAAAACTTCTCCTATGCAGGAGTTCTAATCTATGTTTCGATAGCAAAATGAAGGAGCTCTTTCAGAAAGACTGAGAGCAATCACCAGGAACTTCATCTAACAGTTTTGTTATAGTCTCCATATGTTCAATAGTAGCAGTGCAGATAATTTCTGTAATTTCTTGCTTGTTTGTAGGAACTGGAGCCACAGGTTGGAGAGCAGTTGCTACAGCTTTGGGACAGTATTCCTTTGAATAGGAATAAAGGAAAAAACTCAACTGATTGAGCACGTCAAGTAATGTGATAGAGGTAGTTATTTTATGTATTACTTGCTGGTTTTATAATATATACAATGTACCATTGCAGTACTGTCTGTCCTTTGTAGTATGTGGGCAAATAGGTACACTTAGTACTAAATATTCTCTTTCTTTTGATTTTTTTTTTTTTTTTAATTTTAGCTGTCGTGGTTGAAACATCAGATATAACTACTAGAACCAGTAGCAAGCCTGCAGTATGAAGATGAGGAAGAAGGTGGCACAACAAGCTCCAGAAGTTGTTAGTCATGCTGTGAAGCTAGTAGAGGAAAAATAAGGGGAATTATGTTGGTTTCAGTATTTCCTTGTCTTAACAAATGTCCTGATGTTATTCACCAGCCTAGTTTTGACTGAATTAGTTTTTTTATAGTAGCATGCAATTGATATTTAAAAACACATTTAAATTCCAAACTGAGTTTGAAACAGTGGACCACATGGAAGTTGTCTGTGGGTTTAAAATAGCACAGCAGACAGTTTAAATATACAGTTTACATTTAAAGCTTTCTCAACACAATAAAATCTGTGAGAGAAACTAGTGTAATGTGAATTAATCAATCTTGCAGTTTGCTTAAAATAAATAAATTGAGAATACATGTCTCCAAATATATTGAAAGATTCTGTAAGTATTGGTTGAACTTCCATATGTGCAGTGTGGAGAAAGCAGGATATATTCATACAAGCAATTGGGTAGCAGGAGAATGTTAAATTTTAATTTAAATACATAAATAAAAGGAGCATGATACCTCTGAGAATGGATTGGTCTAGCAGTGTTTCCATTTTTAGGTAGTTTTCACCTTTTAAAGGTAGTCATACTTTGGCAAGCTGGAGAGCAGTCTTTTGGAGGCCTGCTGCCAAATGGTAGTCTTAATAGTTCACTAACTTGCAGTACAACTTTATTCATCTTTCAGCGTAGTCTTCATGCTTTACTTCTTCTTTCAATTTATTTCTTCTTTCACACTTCAGTAATTTTGAATTACTGACTTCTTAGTCATTAATATACTGTACTATGAGGCCATTATTAGCAGACTAATTCAGTCTGCTTGTCGTCAGCACTGTTTGTAGTTATTATTAGATTAAACCAAAAGCTTTTTCTGCTTCTGAGCCCACACTCTCACTTTTTAATGAGTGAAATACTCACTTATTAACCATATCTTCACACCAACAATATTCACACAGTTCAGAGTACCCCGCGCATTCGTTCTGCCATCCTGTATAGTGACTTCTATACATAAACAGTCAGTTTTGCCTTTGCAAGACTAGCTGGGTCCTTGTAAGGTGCGTATTGTCTAACGCAGGCTATACAATACTTCCAATCTCCCACCCTCAAAGGAATGTTGGGTTGTATTGACTTGCACAGGATTCCCAGACCCCATGCACACTAAGGACAGAGCTGGCACAGAGGGGTGTAATGTTTTGCTAAAAAGTCCAGACCATGCTTCTGCAGCTTGGTGGTAAAAAAGGACAGTCCAGGCGAGGAATATGCATTCCCCATGCTTGTTGGCCAGTCCTGGTCACTTGTCTGGAGAACAGGTCATACTCTGCTGCCTACCTGACAGCCATGCTCATGTAAGTCTTTGCAAGCCCAGATATTAGGTCTAGCCCAGTCTTGGTGAATTACTTGACTTGCTGTTTTAGGACCCGCATAATTGTACTGCCGAGCTGTATGTTTGCCTGTACTGTTACTTAGACATAAACTGTTTATCCCTGAAGCTGTTGGTCTGGTGTCTGTTACAACATAGTAAACCTGTAAGTTGTCAGAGTTATAGTTAAGCCCTTACTCTCTGATGTAAGAGGAGAGATATGGTACATGCTGACCCTATAGTGAGTGCCTTAAGTGGTTATTTTAGGACCTTGCCCAGCCTGCAGGGTCAGATTCTACTTTGAGAGTAAGCCAGAGAGACAGAAACATAAAGGGAGCATTACCCTGCTTGTACCTATGAGTTCATTTCCTTATTGATACTGAGCAGCATTTGAAAGCAGCTCAGGTTGGCTACCTGTAAAAAGAACTGGACAACTTCTGACAGGACACTAGGGCTGCACTAAAGGAGAAAACTGTCATGTGCCCGTGTTAAAATCTGTTGGGCTAATGTGGAGAAACTAGAGCAATGTGTGTTCCCCCACATAGCAGTGTTTGCCTGGGAAATACTTGGGCATCATCTGGAACCTGTGGAAAAGGGAATTTCTTTATATAGAGACCCAGAAGACTGGGTTGATACTTGGTCTGATTCAGATTCGGACAATTCTGTCTCAGAGTCCTCCACTCCTAAAGTCTGAATAATCTGATTGGTTGTTAGAGC